GAAGCTATGACTTTGAAACTGGAGCTTCAGACAAAGCGAATAGGTTCATGCCAGACCCAGCAAAACGTATGACACCAAGACAAGCCCAAATAATACTGCAGCAGCATTCATCACATCAAACACATACGGTATGAGCCTCCCGGAAATGGGACAGAGGACAGAAATAAATAAGGCTCACATCCATTCCATCTCCATACAAGTGGCAGAAATGAGATGAACAAGAGAAATGTCATTTTGCCGTTTCTGCTGCCACAGTCGCGAGCACGCATGCACCGCACTGTGGATAATTGGTGACAATATCTTCAAAGGCCCCGCGGCGAACCCTATACAAGCCATTCTCCTCTTTTGCCTGCACTCTCCATCATATCACACAACCGGCACCGGGGTGGCTCCGCGCTTGACAAGCGCCCACATTTCTCGGTTGATTCGGGTGCCAAACGGCTGCGGCCACAGAGCAGGCCATTTGACTTTGAGCATGCGGGCGATCGGATATCTGAATGAGATATAACTTTTTTTGTCCAACTTGTGATGCTTTCGTTGTTGCGGGGCAATGACAGATCCAAAATACATTAATCTCCTCCACTGTATCGGAAGGACTAATTTGTTTTGTCGAGCCTTTGGCTAAACAGCAACAAAAAAGTAGGCCATGGAGACTAATGAGACATCATAGTTGTTACAATGGGGTGGGGGGTGGGGGGGGGACTACAAAGTTTCCCTATCATGTTAGGGTGACTTTAAATCATTTGTCACAGTAGGTTTCTTTATTTGGTAGGCCATAACTCAATTTGGCTTGTCACCTTCTGGGATGTACAGAATAATAAATGCCTTGACATTTATACTGCACGTTATTTCTGGTCCATTTTCATAGGACACCGCAACTTTGGCGTCACATTTGCATTCGAATGCAGTGGACCTGCTACTGCCAAACAACCTCCGATTTGTTTTTTTTGTTGTTGTTTTTTTGTTTTTTTGTAAATTGAGTACTTGAGTATTTGGCTCCTGTATGGAGAGTGCAAAATTAGACTTGACCATATGTCGAAAAAAATGCAACTTTAAATAAGGACAAAATACAAGTATATGTGCAAAATATGTGCAGTCCATTTTTGATCATATATCTTTCAAATACAAAAAAACGCCCACTTTGCTTAACTACAGTAACAACAAACTGCAGTTTTTCCAGTGAAAAGGTCTCACGCATAAAAAATTACAATTCAAAGACTGCACAAAACTTCTAAACAAGAAACCAACAAGAAGTGCAAAAACGAATTTTATGGTGATTGGTAATATTACAACTTCAAACTCCAGTCGACCCCTGCGTGTTCACAGTTCGGCACCTGTGGATTCGTATATTTGCAGATTTTTCTTTTTTTGCTTTATTTCATATTTTTGATTTTCCCATTTCCCATTCCCATTTTTTTTTAAATAATTGATCAAGGGGCCACTCGGCGCGTGGTTGTGGGCCACATCCATTTGCACATCCCTATTCCAAAGTAACAGTATTCTTAAGCGATTACAATTTTTGCCCGCTCTACCCACCTCTGACTCAATGGCAACATTAAATACGCAGCACACTCAGCCGGACCATCTGCTTCTGCATTAAGCGTGCAGAGAGAAATACGTTTGGAAAGACACAGAGGGATCCACATTAACATAGTGGAGAGCCACTGGATGAAAATCATCAAAAAATAGCAAAACATTTCCGAGAGGCTTTCCTATCCGTTTGCAAGGAAGGTTTACTCGAGTCAACACAAAGATTTGAGTATAAAAATGTGAGTTTGTGGTGCCAGACTAAAGTCTTTCCTCCTAGACGACACCCGATGACCACATTGGGGTGTGAGAGCAACAGTGATGTGAGTACACACCCAATTTGTGGTTAAGACTAAGTTAAAAAGTTTTTGGGTGGCTTGTAAATCAAAATGTCACGGTCGTTTCCCGCCCTCTCTCTCGCTCTCCAATGTTTCCAACATGGACAGTGATTTAAATGGGTGTGAAGCACACGGTCTGCTTCCTGACTAGCCTCATTCATCATCAACATGCATTACAGGCAACTAATTGCGACCTTCATTCACGCGTTCACCTTTTCATCTTGTCAATTATGCCAACGCGGGTCGTTCCATTTGGAATGCCATCTCCGGAGGGCGGCGCACTCCTTCCTGAATCCAAGATTCATTCTGCACCAGGAGAACGACATCAGCCAAAGGAAATTGTTTTTGTGGTCTTTCCCTGCTTTAATGAGTAGTCATATAAGCAGAAACTGCCAAATAAATGTTTTACTAATCCTGCCCAAAAAAACCTGAGACCCTGGAAAAGATTATCCTATTTTGTTTCGCATTGAAAAGTGGAATTCCAATACCATCTAAAATAACGAATAACACATTTTCACATCTAATTGACCACTGACATGCATGACTGCGCTGTCCTAAAATCTTTCTCCTTTTTTGGGGCGGGGGATTTATTTCCATAGTTATTCCACACCAAACGTTTCTGTGAGCGACAGCATGTTTAGACCCGGTCCCCCGCGCACGAAAAAAAAAGGCATCAAAATAATGGCACGTTATAAAATGTCAGGGGTAAAAAAAAAAAAATGCTGTTCAAGCAAAACCTTGTCATCGGAATTCAGGAAATTGTACACCTCAAGAAATCGGATGTGACTTTGGAGGGACCACAACCAATCACCGATAAATAACCGTAAAGCGGTCCGAGCAAAGCGACGCGCCTTCATGCGGAATGTTTCAGCATTGGGAAACGCACGACATGGACAAAAGTAGTTGGGACACCGGGACTGTTCTTTCCACTGCTGCCTTTGCCAAATTTGAAGCCACATACCAAAATCCGCAGACGTGGGATGCCAGCCACCCTCTGTCCTAAGTATTTCCTGAGAAAAAGTTCAAACTAAACTCGTCTGTAGCCAAGAATGATGTCATGTCCGGATACACATAAGAATTAAAAATGCAATACTTGCAAGTGCTTTCAACTGAAATGTCACGATTCCCGTTACTACGCTGCAGTCTAACTACCGTTTTAACATTTAAATGTGGCACCTTATTAATGATGAATATAGACGAGTAATTCCCCCGTGCTAAATAACATCACTGGGCTCATTCAGCTCTGATCTTCCGCTTAACACTCTCGTGAAGATGAATATTATACATTTGGGTTCTCCACCACAACGAGGAATAAAACAGAGGTTGCATTCAAAAGGTCCTGAAAGCAGAGGTGGGAGTAAGTCACATATGTCATATTTCGTGACCAGACATTAAAAAGTCCAACTTTTCATGAAGTGGCTAAGCGCACATACACAGATAAGGGGATACAAATGTGTATTTTTTTTTCACGGCGTAGCATAATATTACCTCTAGGTAGAAGCGATGTAATTGAAGCAAGCGCATCCTACTGGCGAGGTGGCTGCTTGCTTCTGTTGCTGTGCTGCCAGGTAGCACCGGCAACCGCTCTTCCCTCAGGACTCGCGCTGCGCCGGCTGTGCAATGAACCGGCGACCCTTCGCGCGCACTTCCCTTTCCAAATGTAGCCACTGATGATAAATTACCGAATCCACCGAGCCCCAGCCATTACTCGCATACACCTCGGGTGGTAAAGGACAGCTCCGGGGAGAAAGACCAGATAACGAGAGCTGGGCATGGAGCAAAAAAATAAACCGCGTTTGACAACGAGTGGAAAAGGTAAGAAGGTCAAATCAAAGCAGGGGGGCATTACTGAATCGTGTGCAAATTGGGGAGTATGACGCACACATTGGCGGACCCAAGATCCATGCATCTGCTTCTTTTGGGCACAAAAAGAAGTCGAAAGAATTGAGTTGAATGTCATTTCCGTCACTGAACATGAACCTTGCGGGCATCATTTTATCTAAGCAGCCAAGCAGTTCGAGGGACGATGACATCAGCGCTCTCAGAGGAATGCTTGTCGTGTCTCTCTCTCACACACACACACACACACACACACACACACACACACACACACACACACACAGCTATGGTAACAGCAGGAGTGTTAATGTGTACTGGAGTTAAAGCAAAACATCCAAATAAAAATGAAGGCATAGGTACCCAAAGCAATTGACAACAGAGCAATTTGAAAGTCATCGAGTGTGTTCTGCCCGGGCCGTGTTTCCTTCTAATCGAGGTCAACAAGCACGACATGACTTAGTAGTCACATAGCAGAGAATGCTGGCTGAGGTCTTTTTTTTTTTTTTCCATGTGAATACGAAAAGAGGAAATAGAGTCGACATTTACGGCAAGAGTGTAGCTTGACCTCTGAGGTGTCTCAAATATGTAGGTTGGGAGGGAACACAGTGCAGACAGACAGCTGGCTGGAGCAGCTGACTGCTATGGAAACGGCGAGAGTGTGGAAGTACGTGTGTGTGTGCCAGGATTTGGTAGGCCAAGCATGCTTATGTCACCAACCATGTGTAAATACACACATCTGTCAGCTATTTAAGTCCAACTGAGTATATGAAGGTAGAAAAAAAAGGGGCAAACAACAGCACACAAAACACTGGACAAGCATTCTACAGACTGGGCAACTATTCAAGAGCTCTCGGTAACAGTAACCCACGGCAACCCGAAAGCCACCCACCTCTTTGGGACACACAGATCCATCGGCCAGTATAGGGCAGAATGAATGGACTGGCAGCCCAGAGTGCGAGGAGACACACACCCACACCCACACCCACAAAAAGAGTGTGTAACTTCACCCGCTCGGGCCCTACCAAAGTGCAGCACTACCCCCTCTTAAAGGTTCACAAGGTTAATTATTCAACACGACAGGGAAGGGAGGCAGGGGGGTGAGAGTGGACACAAGCGGCCAGAAACGTCACATCTCTTTTGTTGAACCCAACCACTCATGAATTGTGTCGGTTTCCTAACAGTTTGCAGCACGTGTTCCGCGCGTCATCGTACAATACGAACCGCGTCCGCACGCGTCTCAGCGTTTGCTCTTTCTCCGCACGCGCTTCCCACTCGCAGCCCGCGTTGTCGTCTCACCGTTGTGATTGTGCTGCAGGGTCTCAAGCATGCTGCCGGAAGGGTCAGCGGCCCCCAGCTCGGTCAGTCTGCGGCTGGTGGCGCTCAGTTCCGAGCGCAAGTTGGTCACCTCCTGGCTGGCAGACTGAATGGCCCCGTCGATGCGCTGAGCCAGCTGCTTGTTGTCATCCATCATTTTCAGGATTTTTGCCTGCGGAGAGGAGAATCCGGAAAAGGTGTTGTCATGCTGACAAGTTGTGCATTTCCAGCGGAGGCAAATAAATCCTTCTTTTGGTCTTTTGAGGAGGAAGCCAAGTTAAATCCTCGAAGCAGTTTGTCCTTTCGCTTGCAAAGAGTCATCCACTTCTGGGGAAATCTGCTGGAGGGACAGTGTGTGTGTGTGTGTGTGTGTGTGTGTGTGTGTGTCTGTGTGTTGCAAGAGTGTCAGTGCAGCCTGTGACTTCAGTAAGCACATGTGCGAAAGTGTTAGCCTGCACTGCCCCCCATGAATCGCGCTGCCCGCAGCTGACTGTTGAAAGGACACAGAGCATTGAGATGACAGGCACCTTTTTTCAAATGGACTGTACCACTTTCGCAGAGAGTCAGAGGGGTGGGGGAGAGTAGGCTACTCTTGTGAGCTCAGGCAAGTCACGAGTATTTTGTGAAGATACTGCTCTAAGGTTGTGGTTAATAGTGTTTGAAGTGAAACCACAAAACAGTAATCTTACCAAGTGTGGGAAAAGTCATGAAAGCGAAATTAAGTGTGGCCTCTTCCTCCTTGCCCGTGTGTGTCCTTCCTTCGGCGTTCGACAGGAAGGGGGACTTATTTGTTTGACAAATCAGGTGTAGCAAGGTGAAACACAAGCAAAGTTTAACTTCAGCAAGGTAAAACCCTCTTGTTTTGATGCTGAGTGGCATTTGCGTGCATCCAAATGGATAGTGAGTATCCCTTTGAAAAAAAAAACTGAGGAAAGATAACAGGGGGGTCAATTTTACTTTGTTAAAAAAAAATGGAAACAACCGGAGACAATGAACCACTGAAGTGTCACGTGGCTAAGCAGGCCATTAATAATGCTGATCAATTGTGTCAATTTCCACCCACGTTAAATGTAAACGTAAAGCTTTGGTGGGCTTCGTGAAAATGTGTTATTTCATCGCTGTACAGCTTGAGAGAATAAGACTTGCAGCTAGTACTGTATGTACATCATATGAAGCCATTGTACTTTGTACATGGGAAGCATCTATCGTAAAACAGACAGTGATGGCTGGTAAAGATCATGCCAATCACAGTTGATTGTTGTGTGTTTTTGATAAATATTTTTCTGTCTGTCATTTTTTTATAGCTTTAATTATAGAACTATACATGTGAAATATATATTTTTTGTGGGGCCCTACCGATAATAATGTAATTGTTTATTTCATTCAATATGTTACGGGGCAGCACGGTATCGACTGGTTAGCACAGCGGCCTCACAGTGGAGCGGTGCAGGGTTCGATTCTGGCTCCGGCCTTCCTGTGTGGAGTTTGCATTTTCTCCCCGGGCCTGTGTGAGTTTTCTGCGGGTACTCCGGTTTCCTCCCTTCCAAAAGCATGCATGGCGGATTCCAAATTGTCCCTCGGTGTGATTGTGAGCGTAAATTGTTTTTCAGCTATCGATCGGCTGGCAACCAGTTCAGGGTGTCCCCCGACTACTGCCCGAAGACAGATGGCATAGGCTCCAACACACCCACGACCCTTGGTGAGGATAAGCGGATTAGAAAATGGATGGGTGGATGTTACAGTCCATGATGTTGCGCGTTGCAGCCATAAAATTTAAAATTCAGTTTCAACATCTTCTCCTTCTAGTGTAATCAATCAAATATAGGATGAACATGATTTCATGGTATTCTGCCTTTATGTACAGTATGTTGAACACAACATCCCGACTTCATTGGAATTGGGTGTGTACAGTATAATCAAATTTGTTTGTGGACTAAAAGTTGAATTATACACTTTACATTGTCATGATATGTATTTCATCAAAATGCCTCCTCCTAGAGGACCTAGACCCTGATCGATGCCTGCTCATCCCACAGGAGTTGAGTATAATAAACGCCCCCAACCATTGATATAGTATTTCCTTAATGTCGAGATGGTCTACTGGCTGCTATTGATTAAGTCGACTGTGGTCATCCATTGTTTCCACAATAGATTCTATACCTTGTTCATTGTCACCATATCATTCTTAAAATCATCCGCCCGTGCATCATCATAAATATGAAATCAGAAAATATTTTGCATCAATGTTTCATATTACCATCATCGCAAGCACCGGATTCAACCTCCAATGGCTTGCGGTTCATTTGTGATTCAAGATTAAATTTACTGTCTATCTTTGAGATGACATGGCACTAATATGCCATTGCTGAAGTCGGAGGTCTTGAATGCGTGTGCTGGTCAGTGGAGTGAATCAGTGCCTGGTGGCGGAGGAGCGGTAATTAGTGAGCGTGGCGGGGTTTAGATTAGCATGTGAATGGAAGCAGTGGCGAGCGGACTCAGTAGTCCGCAGCCATCCTTTATTGTGCTATAGTCGAGGATCTGTCACTCTGCAGACATTTTGCAGCCAAGACAAGGCACCGACTCTCATCATGAAATCAAAGCGCACGATAGACACTTAAAAACAACAGTTATTAAGACGCTGTGAATGTTTCTTTTTTTTTTTCCTTCCCCTTTAACAAAGTAGAGCTGAATTGTGTTGCTAAGCAATAACATTACACAGTGAAGGTATTTGCTGCCTGGCAACAAGACAAAATGAAATTTGTTCTTTGCAAGTCATAGAACAAATGTGCGCAGTTCAAGGCAACCGAGGCGAGTATCTACTGTAGCCACATAAAATGATAAATATACTATTTTGTTTGCTGTCAATAAGGTGAAGAGTGAGTTGATGGTTTTCTACATTATCGTGATGTATGGATGATGTGCTGTATGTCACTTTAAACAAGGAGTTGTAAAAGTTGTGTTGTTGTTAGACATGATACAAAGTATGGAGAGTTGTAAACTTTGATTCATTAACCTAGAACACAAAAAGTCTTGTTGACACACGTTTCCATTTAAGTGAGGGTGGAGAGGCTACAGGCAGGGATGTGTTTCTGGAAAGTGATGACACATTTTTCAACTCTCAGCTGAGCCTTTGGCCACATCCTCCTCATCTCAGTTTCCCAATTTCAACAAGGAACACAAACAAACGGTGATGACAGAATTTTGGGGCCGATCCCAACACCGATGACTACAATGTAAGTCTAACATTTCGAGCCCTATTTTGGTAGTCTGGCACCCTTGCGCTCGGTGTTAAAATGGGCTTGGCTTCATTTTTGTGCCAGCCCAACTCAAGCTTCTCTTCTTCATGAAGTTGCCTCGCCCCCGACTCATCTGACAATTTGGTAACCCACATTAGTCTGCGCTCGACGTCAAAACGGGTGCAGCATCATTTTCGTGCCGGTGCGGTGGTCTAATTCAGCGTCTTTGTGAATTTGGTCGACGCGCTACGCTGCTCTGGGCGTTCCTTCCCGACCACCCCACGCATCTGCAAATATTTTTTTCCAAAAAGTCGACTAGATTTTAGACTAAACACGACTGCGTGTCAAAATGTTGGCTCCAGTTCCACACGACCTTGAAGGATTGAAGTTTTAGAGGTAAGATCAGGGGGGCAGGTTACTCACAGCGATTTCATGGGAAGAATTTCAACAACGTTGTCATCCGCATGCAAGACTCATGATTATACCGCTTTGTAGATTGTTGTCTTGTAAATGTACGTTTGGAGACAACTGTAAATAGCGTGCAGTCGGGGAGGCAAATATCACACCAACACATATTGTCTGAACAACAAACAAAACAATCAGCAAACGAAACCCCAAAAGTAACTTGCCACTGACATTTTAACAAGTCAAAGTAGATCGTTGGCTGTTGGCCTAAAGCGATAACAGATGGATCCATTTTCCTGATGAAAAAGGAGCGTGGTTGCACATCTGATCATGAATGTTGTGCTAAATAAAACCTCCGCGTAGGTGTGAGTGAGCTATCACATGGAGTTTGGTTAACTCTTAGGTCGCTGTGCATCTGCATGTATGTCTGCCTCTGTGGCTGTGCGTGTTTGAGGGAGAGAAGAAGTGGAGGATGGCGAGGGAAGGAGGGAGTATAATTGTGTGTTTCAGGTTGAAGGCGGCTCTTGTCTCCTCTGCTCAGTATTCAGCAGCTGTCATTTTTGTGACAAGGATTGAGAGATGCTCTGTTTGGGGAGCCTGAAGCAGGTTCCTTGATGCAGCTATTCTCGACCAATTTCCTTCAAAAAGCCTCACACGACAGATGACACGCATGATTTTCTACAACACGGATGCAACGACATATGACATTGAAGTTCGTTTTGACAGACATGCTTATGAGGGAAAATGAGTAAAGACAACCTCGCCCCCCCCCCCCAACTTCCTTGTGGTCATGTACTGTCACCCCTGCATATTTGCAGCTCACCATTTACAAATACACCAATCCCACTAGCCCCTCCCCTTTGTGAAATCAATCCCGTTATTCACTGAAAAAGTCAGCAATTTGTAGTTTTTGTGCTCCGTTTGAAACCTTGCACTGAAAAAAATCCGCTTTTCCTCTCAAGGGTCGCGGGGTGTGCTGGAGCCTATCCCAGCTGTCTCCGGGGTACACCCTGAGCTGGTTGCCAGCCAATCGCAAGGCACACGTAGACAAACATCCACCTAGGGACAATTTAGAATGTGTCATGAACCTGCCATGCACGTTTTTTGAATGTGGGTGGAAACCAGAGCACCCAGAGAAAACCCACACAGGCATGGAGAGAACATGCAAACTCCACATAGGAAGGCCGGAGCCGGAATCGAGCGGAGCACCTCTGCACTGTGAGGCCGACACGCTAACCAGTCAACCACCGGGCCGCCCGTGTCGAATTTTCTCAATTTTATTTTGTCAAGTGGCTGCATGCAATGCAATCATTTAATGCGCGACTGTATATTCTGCTTCAATTTCTTCAACATACACAATTCAACTTCATTCAGAATTCTTAGCAATCAAGCAATCAGATACTATGCCCGCTCCTGATCTGGAAAAGAACTGACAAAATGTAGCGAATGAATCTTAACCAAACTGACATGTTCGGAAACATTGGTTCATGTCTGTGCACCTTATTTGAGACTGCCTTCAAACTGCCAAAAT